ATGGCGCTTTCCTGTCGTAAAAGTCATATGATAATATAATAAACGACAGTCAGTGTCAGAATCCTCAAGGATGAGTGACAAGGACTAAATACAATTTGTTTTATTTCAATAACTCTCAAATAGTTGTGATTTATATTAGTTTGAAAAGAACTGGAAAAATAGCCAACAAAATAACACGATATATAATACTTTTAACTGAAAGATGATTTACAAAGTTGTCATTTCAGATTTAGAAAAACGAAATACCACCATTGTTATTTCAAATAATTCTGAATAATTCTTATACCGAATAATAAATTCTTGAAATTCTAGAATTATTTGTTGAAGTATAATGAAAACGACATAATATGCCATGTCATAACTTTTTGTTTTTCTCATATTTGATTTCTGAGCCTGTGATAATGTACACGTGTTCACTTTGGAGGAAGAGAGATTTTATACAATTAACGTTATTTCAGTTATTTAATCAGTATAATTATGACAGGACACCTCACAACATGCTAGTATCAGCGGGTTTTTTTCTGTCATCTTATTTCTGACTTCTGTAGTTAACAAGGTGTCACAATGGAGCGGGAAATATTACATACTTATATTTCAATTGATACTGATTTACTCCTGAATTACTAAAAACATCCTGGATTTTTTAATTATCGAATATCGATATAAAAAAAAATTGACGAAAACCTTCACGGCGTGATATGCAGTAATATATTTGTGTCTTTCACTACTTTATCATATCATGTTTGTATATGTGTGGGTAGGTGGGCACACCTAATTATTTTTATTATAAAGGAAATATCTAGTACTTTATTATTTTATTTTATTAAGTAACCAGTATCTATAAACTTGAAATAGTGTCTCATAGCTCAACTTGGCCGGATATTAATTTGATCAATTTCGTTTTAACTTGAAACTTCAAATTGTGAATTGATATGTGACACTTTATTAAAGTAAATTATTATCATTATCATAAACATGTAAAGCTGCCTAGCAATCAATAGGATCAATTATCTTCTATAAAATATTATTAAAACATTTATGATATAATCCGATGTCATTAAATTGACCCAAATGATCACCGATAACAGTCCAGAGAGAAAGTGATCAGGACAGCCTCTACTTATACAAATAAATCCTTTATTCTACAATTAATGCATTTAAACAGCTGATGAAGAAATACAGTTAATTATAAATCTTCTGGACCTAATTCGTAGTTTAATAAACGTGTCCTAGGGTTTGGAGAGTAATATGTTCGAAATAGCCGTCCTTCCGGCCAGATATATTTATAACAAAGGTTATCGTTCAAAGGGAAGTAACTCAAGTTAGTTTCGATATCATTTTGTTATATTACGCAAATCGTTGTTAAGAATAAGATGTAAAGTTACGTATGCCGCTTTGATGTTAAACAGTTGTGTAAACATTTGAAGCGCCATTCTAAAATTATAACACTTCAGTAGGGAAGCTGCCATCTTGCATTCGCAGCTACAATCTAAACCTAATTCGTTATTTGTAGATGAGTCAGATGACGCGATGAGTTATCGGGTCGATTTTAAAATGATGCTTTGACGAATGATAAAGAACTAAACTGAATTGAGCATGAGTTAAGTACCCGATAATGTCGTTCAGGTAGTCCAGAAATGTAGGCATGGCGTCACTCCATTTTGATTAGAAACTGTTTTTTAGTGCCGGCAAATGACGGGAAGACCGGAGAACTAGCACGGAAGATTGTTACGGGGTCTGTTTCTAAGAACCGATACAAGATGCAGTCTCCTGTTTCCCTCATGGGACGAAGTCTTGCCACGAGAGCAAACGGCTTCGGTAAGTCTGGGACTAGGAGACGTCTAAGTACTGTCAGTCTCCGTGGGCAGACTGCAAACCCGTACAATACGAGGTCGTTTGCTTTAAATCAATTTGCGCGCTAACCATCAGCCAACATTTTTAAATTTGTTAAATTGTTTAAATTTTGTACAATAAACTATTCAAAGATTTCTTATCAACTTCAAATTTTCAACAACAAAACAATGTTTTAAAAATGACAGTTTTTCATTTTCCTTATTATTTTCATTGATTAGTTGGAGTCCGTTTACATGCTTTTCGGTTGTTATACATGAAATTTAACTTTATCTTTTAAAATCAAAATGAGCTGAGTTAACACGAAATTCATGTAAATTTGTATTTTAACTGCTAGTATTTTCCTTCAGCCTTGAGAATCATGCATATCTGATGTATTTTATAATACTACATAGGATATCAAACACGATAAACGTTAGTAAATGTACCAATCTGTTCATCACTTGAAACTGAGACTCCGTTGCCTCCCTTTACGGATCGAGACTGGTCGGCTTCACAACATACCATTCGAACAGAGGAACTGTCCGTTCTGTCCAAACACCGTCGAAAATTGAAAATGTGACTGTCCTACTTATGGCAGCATTAAAGGAGAACTATACAATATAGCAAGAGTTTATAATGATAATTTTGATAATCTCCATAGTCATCAAAAGTTCCTATTTTTAGAACAATTAATGACTGAATCTTTACACTTGCAAAGTCGCTTACCCTCATGTTTAAATATAGGCGTCAACGTAGTATCAATAACTAGCTAAAATAAATCTGATTTTATAATTAGGAAGATAATGATAAAATGTCCCATGAGCCGATTGCGGCTGGCCGTTACATCAATTTTAATCTTGAAAACGTATTTCAAGTACACCTTTCATCAGTAATGTAAACATTTATCTGTATTTGTTACATGTGATGTGATGCGTGACACTGAAATAAAATATTGATTAATTGATTGATTTGATTGGTAAAACTCACCACTGTATACACTATCCACAGCTAAGAAGACGAAGCTTGGATGTGGGCGTGGCACCTGTATCCGGACAATGGATAGTGTGATCAAGGCTTACAGACGGCGCTCTAAGGTTCTCTTGTGCAGGTACGTCTCAAGTCCAACAGCCAAACAATCAGGGGCTTTGAATAATTAATCAGTGGTTTTCTTTCGTATCCTCTGTGTCGGGGAGATTTAATGAAGAAAAAATAATCTGTCCCTATAAAAGCAATACCGGTACTTTTTCAATCTTTTTACTTTTTAATAAAATGTATTCCTTGCTCACATACCATTCCTTGCTTAAATTTGTGTCGATGAACTATTTAGAATACCAAATGACAATAGTAATCATTCATCCGGAAAATTAGAGGAAAATTTGAAATTTAGTAGTGAGACTCGTGTACGTCACTTCCGAATTAGCGTAGAGATCCGGGGAAAAACGGGTCGTGTTCTTTTATCAAAAATGTCTTCTTTTTTTTTAATTCCAGGCCTTTGATGATAACTTTTGAATTTATAACCAATATTCATTTTTCTATCACATGTACTTTCCAAAACAACTGCATAATATATTGATGATTTAAATGTATAGGAGACTTACCCGCCACATGGAATGTCTAAACTACAAGCTCCAGAAGTGTCCTATGACGTACTGGCGGGCCGTGCGGATATTGAGGCGCGCGTTTGGGGACTACTTGTGGCGGTGTAATATTAACATCCCCCTCCGCCTGGACATCGCCCTACAGAAACAAATTCCAAAGTTCGTAGATGATGTCATTGAGAGTAAAGTTAAAACACTTCCCGATAACTACCCAGAGGAATTGGGAAATTACTTTGACATCGACGATGATTTCATGGACGATGACGACGACGACGACGACGACGACGACGACGACGACGACGACGATGATGATGATTATGATTATGATGATTATGAGGATGATGATGACATTAAAGAATTTAAAGAAAGTATGAGGAAACTAATGAAAGGTACGACCGTTTGTCTATTCATCCTCAAATTGTGATTTAAAGTAAATAATTCACTTGAATACTTTATTATGTAAATGTTTCACATTTTATCATAAGACAAACTTAATTGTTTTACCATATTACATGTATGTTTACAAATATCTATGCCTATGTCATAATCGCGTTGTTGAGGGGTCATAGGTCAAGATCTGTTCGTATTAATAGGATGCAATGGGGAACCGTCGGCATTTGCAGGTAACGAGTATTTTCTCGTTTACGGAAAGTGACGACGGTTCCCGATTGAGTAGGATGTTAATCTAGATTATGCAAATATCTAATTTATCATAACTGTCGTTTTCTTTATCCATTTAGCGATTTCCTTATTACATTTTTTTTGTATTTTACAGCCGATGACAAGGATCTAGATAGATATGAGGAATCTATTGAGGATATGTTAGAAGATTATGACGATGAAGATTACGAGATCGATGATGTTTTAGAGGATAAGAAAGACATTATCGAAGACATAGTTGAGAAAAACAACAAAAAAGCTATCATTGATGAATACATAGAAGAAATGTTTGATGACGTCGATGATTATGAAAAAGAAGACACACGATACGGCGTTAAAGGCAGCAGAGACAGTATCAAAGACAAAGTCGAGCATATGAAGGATATAATTGAGAACAGCCATGACATATTCGAAGATATTATCGATGACGATGATTATGAAACTGATGACGACGATGATGATGATGACGACGACGACGATGACGATTATGAGAAAATTGATCGTGACGATATAACTGATCATATCGAAGACATAATTGAGAGTATCTATGACGACGACGATGATAATGAATTGTTTGATGATGATGATGATGATCGCAATGAGTACGAGGAACGCGATGATAAGGACGATGATTACGACGATGCTTATGATGATATAGATGATATTTATGACGATAAACGTGATTCTATCAGATTGAAGAGAAGGAAATTTGATGACGACAATGAATATCTAGAAATTGACGACTTCGATGAAAAACTCTTTGGTGATGATGATGATGATGATGATGATGATGACTACGACGATGATCGTTATGATGATCGTGATGATCGTGATGATAGTTATGATGATCGTGATGATTATGATGATCACGATGATGATGATCGATACGATGATGATCGTGATGATCGTTATGATGATCGTGATGATCGTTATGATGATCGTGATGATTATGATGATCACGATGATGATGATCGATACGATGATGACATTTATGACGAAATTGACGACGACAAGGGACGATCTGACGATATCAATGATAGCGATGATGACGTCGTCAATATGCCGATGCAGCTGTATCACCGATTGGCAAAAGGTATCTCCTCTCGTAGACTTCAGCACATAAAGAAACTGTTCAAAATCATACCGAACAAGGCCAAAGGACCCATCTCAGGTATGAAGTAGTACGTTGTACAAGCAATAAGCTAATTAATTAATTGATAGGGTCTTATACTCTACCCTCGAGTAAAGTAGTTGGTGTTATACCCTCAGCTTTACTCGAGGGTGACGAATTTAGGTCAGAACTTTGGGAGCAAAGTAGGGGAATTTTAACCCGAAGGAAGATTCTTAAATGCACGAAGCTGTGCCGAGGGCCAGGCTTTTAGAATCTTACCAAAAGGGTTGACATTTCTCTGTCCTACTCCTAAAGTGGCAAAGCCTCGTGCTGGACAGCCAAAGACTCACCCCCGGGTTGGTATTCCCCTGTCCACGGACCACACACATGTAAGATCCAATAATCTTTATCGGAGGTGAGTATATTTCTGGCTTATGTGGTGGGAAAAGGATCACTCACACCGAGAAAGGCTTAAAGTAGACAGTCGCACGTCCTACTTATGTATAATGGACATAATACAATGAAACAACTATAGCATTCCAAAGTTAAGTATAGTATCCACGAGTCAAGCACAGTATCCGATAGTCAAGCATAGTATCCGAGAGTCGAATATAGTATTATAAACATAGAAATATTGTATCCCATAGTATAATACAATGAAACAACTATAGCATTCCAAAGTTAAGTAAAGTATCCACGAGTCAAGCACAGTATCCGATATTCAAGCATAGTATCCGAGAGTCAAGCATAGTATCCACGAGTCAAGCATAGTATCCGAGAGTCAAGCATAGTATCCGAGAGTCAAGCATAGTATCCACGAGTCAAGCATAGTATCCGATAGTCAAGCATAGTATCCGAGAGTCAAGCATAGTATCCACGAGTCAAGCACAGTATCCGATAGTCAAGCATAGTATCCGAGAGTCAAGCATAGTATCCACGAGTCAAGCATAGTATCCGAGAGTCAAGCATAGTATCCGAGAGTCGAATATAGTATTATAAACATAGAAATATTGTATCCGAGAGTCGAATATAGTATTATAAACTTAGAAATATTGAATCCGAGAGACGAATATAGTATTATAAACATAGAAATATTGTATCCGAGAGTCGAATATAGTATTATAGACATAGAAATATTATATCCGAGAGTCGAATATAGTATTATAAACATAGAAATATTGTATCCGAGAGACGAATATAGTATTATAAACATCGAAATATTGTATCCGAGAGTCGAATATAGTATTATAAACATAGAAAGATTGTATCCGAGAGTGAAATATAGTATTATAAACATAGAAATGTTATATCCGAGAGTCGAATATAGTATTATAAACATAGAAATATTGTATCCGAGAGTGAAATATAGTATTATAAACATAGAAATATTGTATCCCAGAGTCGAATATAGTATTATAAACATAGAAATATTATATCCTAGAGTCGAATATAGAATTCTGGAATCATGTATAGTATCCCAGATTATAAACATCGAAATATTGTATCCGAGAGTGAAATATAGTATTATAAACATAAAAATATTGTATCCGAGACTCGAATATAGTATTATAGACATAGAAATATTATATCCTAGAGTCGAATATAGAATTCTGGAATCATGTATAGTATCCAGAGTCGAATTAAATATTTCTGGAGTCATGGATAATATCTAAACATAGAAATATTGTAGCCGAGAGTCGAATATAGGATTATAAACATAGAAATGTTATATCCGAGGGTCGAATATAGTATTATAGACATAGAAATATTATATCCTAGAGTCGAAAATAGTATTATAAACATAAAAATATTGTATCCGAGAGACGAATATAGCATTATAAACATAGAAATAATGTTTCCGAGAGTAGAATATAGTATTATAAACATAGAAATGTTATATCCGAGGGTCGAATATAGTATTATAGACATAGAAATATTATATCCTAGAGTCGAATATACTATTATAAACATAGAAATGTTATTTCCGAGAGTCGAATATAGTCTTATAAACATAGAAATTTGTTGGCCGAGAGTCGAATATAGTCTTATAAACATAGAAATTTGTTGGCCGAGAGTCGAATATAGTGTTATAAACATAGAAATAATGTATCCGAGAGTCGAAAAAAATATTATAAACATAGAAAGATCGTATCCCAGAGTCGAATTAAGTATTTCTGGAGTCATGGATAATATCTAAACATAGAAATATTGTATCCCGGAGTCGAATATAGTATTACAAACATAGAAATTTTGTATCCGAGAGTCGCATATAGTATTATAAACATAAAAATATTGTATCCGAGAGTGACATATAGTATTATAAACAAAGAAATACTGTATCCGAGAGTCGAAAAAAATATTATAAACATAGAAATGTTATTTCCGAGAGTCGAATATAGTGTTATAAACATAGAAAGATTGTGTCCGAGAGTGAAATATAGTATTATAAACATAAAAATATTGTATCCGAGAGTGAAATATAGAATTATAAACATAGAAATGTTATTTCCGAGAGTCGAATATAGTGTTATAAACATAGAAATAATGTATCCGAGAGTCGAAAAAAATATTATAAACATAGAAATGTTATTTCCGAGAGTCGAATATAATATTATAAACAAAGAAATACTGTATCCGAGAGTCGAAAAAAATATTATAAACATAGAAAGATTGTGTCCGAGAGTGAAATATAGTATTATAAACATAAAAATATTGTATCCGAGAGTAGAATATAGTATTATAAACATAGAAATATTGTATCCGAGAGTCGAATATAATATTATAAACAAAGAAATATTGTATCCGAGAGTCGAATATAGAATTCTGGAGTCAGGGATAGTATCCCAGAATCAAATAAAGAATTCTGGAGTCACTGACAGTATTCCAGAGTCGAATTTCGTATTTCAGAGTCGGGTATATTATCCCAGAGCCGAATGTAGTGTTTCAGAGTCACCTTTATAGTATCCCAGAGTCGAATATGGTAAACAGAGTCATGTATATCATCTCAGAGTCGATTATAGAATTCTGGAGTCATGTTTAGTATCCCAGATTCGAATATAGAATTCTGGAATCATGTATAGTATCCAGAGTCGAATTAAATATTTCTGGAGTCATGGATAATATCCCAGAGTCAAATTAAGTATTTCTGGAGTCATGTATAGTATCCTAGAGTCGAGTATAGAATTCTGGAGTCATGTATAGTATCCCAGATTCGAATATAGAATTCTGGAATCATGTATAGTATCCCAGAGTCGAATTAAGTATTTCTGGAGTCATGGATAATATCCCAGAGTCAAATTAAGTATTTCTGGAGTCATGTATAGTATCCTAGAGTCGAGTATAGAATTCTGGAGTCATGTATAGTATCCCAGATTCGAATATAGAATTCTGGAATCATGTATAGTATCCCAGAGTCGAATTAAGTATTTCTGGAGTCATGGATAATATCCCAGAGTCAAATTAAGTATTTCTGGAGTCATGTATAGTATCCTAGAGTCGAGTATAGAATTCTGGAGTCATGTATAGTATCCCAGATTCGAATATAGAATTCTGGAATCATGTATAGTATCCCAGAGTCGAATTAAGTATTTCTGGAGTCATGGATTATATCCCAGAGTCGAGTATAGAATTCCGGAATCACCTTTAGTATTCCAGAGTCAAATTTAGTATGTCAGAGTCATATAAAGTATCCCAGATTCTTAATATATTATCCAGAAGTGACGCATCGTACCCCGGAGTCAAAGACTAAGTCAGAGACAGGCGAGAATGCTTTACTATACCAAGGTTATGTGATGACGATACTAAAGTTGACAAGTTTTGTACTAAACATGTATCCTTCATAAACTCACCACGCATTTATTTTATTGATAGGTAAACGGGCATACTTTGATAAGAATAGTCCGATCTACAGACGGATAAGAACAAAGAAAATTAACAGAAGCAAAAACGCCGTGAAGGCAGATTGGGATGGCAAGTATGTGTAGGTAAGTGTCACTCATAAAATTATATAAGTGATGACAAACTAATGTTAAATCATCCATTATAGAGAACTACAAAGCAAAAATGTTGATTTGATCCAATAGCAGCAGGATCCATGACACACGAATGCTCTCCGAGTGGAAAATGCTCGGGTCTTTCCGCCAAACTGTTTGGACCAATCATGAGGTGATGTCAAGTTCAAGATCTTTGCCGCCTTATATTACTGGCAAACATGGGAAGACGGTTTAGTTCTCAGAGAAAATTATATTCTACCATTTAGTAAACTTTAAAAAAAAAAAAAAAAAAAAAAAAAAAAAAAATTTAAAAAAAAAAAAAAAAAAAAAAAAAAAAACTGATTGAAACAACACAGAACGATACGATACTATTGTCTTTGTTTTTTATATAAAGAAACGGATTAAAATGCATCTTTTTAAAAGTCAGGATGATATGAAATAATTTTCAATACAAACATATTCTGCAAGATGAGGTTCCACGCACCATTGGAGATGTTTGAACGGAACTGTGTTGCATACAGTCATAAATGTAAAAAAAAATGATGGATGTCAATTCTCAAATGAAACAAAGTTATGAATGGAGCTGACACATATGCGACTCACCGAAATTTAACCAAATGTGTTGCCGAAGTCTTATAAAACGAACCAACGTGAATATTTGTACTTTCTCCTTTTTTTGCAGACGCCAAAAGATACTGAATCAGAGGCGCCGAAGGATACTGAATCAGAGGCGCCGAAGGATACTGAATTAGAGGCACCGAAGGATACTGAGTCAGAGGCGCCGAAGGATACTGAATCAGAGGCGCCGAAGGATACTGAGTCAGAGGCGCCGAAGGATACTCAACCAGATGGTTCGGTGACGGAATAAAATACTTCAATTCATGTTAAGAATATTTCACAAGATATTGTTTTCTACTTTTGCTTGGCCACAATGCCATTTGTAAACAGGAAGTATCAAGGGTGCATTTTCCTTCCGCAACTCTCCTTGCACCTGTAAGGTTGGCTTTTAACATTCGACATTCCAATACATACCAGTGATTTGAGTTTGTTGCTGTTGAAAGAACGCATCCATGATTCTTTGTACGCTGAAAATGGACATTGTTTATTTATTATTTAATTTTTTACAAATACAGTATGAATTTAAATGAATATGAGCGTTTTTGTTGTAATTTACTGTTTTTCAAAAAGAGAATAACGATACGTTGAACGATTTTCATTGTTCGAACGAGTTACTTCCCTTTAAACGTTTGGTGGTCTTATAAGTATTCATTTATGGGTTTACGTATCTTAAGTCGCTCGAATTCTGCTCTAGGCCGTTGATTAGTTTTTACACTCTGAACACTATTGTAGATTATATTTTGTATCTTTCTTCTGTTCTTCCTCTTTTAACAAAAACCCAATCAGGTGTGATTTTCTTTCCAGAAATGATTGATCAAAGCTGTTGTCAGTTTCCAATCCATAGCTACCGATTCTGGCAGTGGTACGGGATCTTTACTTAACCTAGGTTTCTGACTGAATACGACCCACTGCTTCTTAAAACTCTCACATTTCATACCCTGGTCGCACTTTTAGCTCTTCAAGTATTATAATATACCCAATGAGCCCCCCGCGACCTACCTGAGTAGTGTTAACAGTCCTTATAAGGCGATGGCTGCTATATTTTACAGACCACATGCGTCCCAGTATCAATGACACGTCGTTCTTCACCTACGGTAGCAGAGAACAGTAAAAAGGACCAGGTCCTGTAATTAAATGACATTTCCGAGATTTAAATGAATAATGGTTTCACCTACACACACATATATTTATAAACTTCGTTATAAATGCAATTTTCACAGAAAAAATACATAAATACTTTCTTTAAGAAGTGCTTACCACAGGAGTCAGACTTGTGAAAACCAAGGTAACCAGGTCACAAAACGTCAAAAAGTGCAAAAAGTGCAAAAAATATTAAAAACTTAACCCCTGCTGATCGATTTGTTTTTTTCTAAAAACTTCTGTGAAATTAAAAATCACCGATTCGGTAACAGAAATACTCACATTTAAGCATAACTTCATCCGGTAAATTTCCACAATATTTCCACATGTGCTGAGCACAAAAATAGACTACACTGTACAAATACAGTTAGCTTTTGTTGTGCAGACACAGATTTGTAAATGACCAAAACTGTACTCTCAAAGTATTTTTTTTAACATGAAGCCCACATTATCCAATTCATCATAAATAAATATGCCAAGTTTTGTGCTGTTTTTTTATAATTGGATACATGTGATATTAAACAATTGACCATGCTGAAATCCATATGATTAGCTTTGTTGTTCGAAGTGACGTTCGCTTAAGGTAGAAAAGCCTGTTACCTTACTACTGTATACGGGCAATAAAATGTATCATCCTGTCAAGTTTGTATCATTTCTTCTATATTTAAACAAAGCCAGTTATAGGTTGTGGACCTTATGAGGGAGTTTGAACATTTTGATAATATTCCTTGAAAAAATGAAAAACAAAATATCATGACCGATTGCTTTCGCCGCTTTATTAATAATCAAGATGTCAAAAGGTAAAAACAATGTGTTTTTAAAATTATTTATTTCACAACAATAATATAACAAGCTATTTAAACTTACATTAATCACTCTTTTTAGACCGAATGTTAGCATGCATTTTTTTTTCTTTTAATGTGCGAGGAAACTGGGATATATGGAGAAACCCCAGGTGATCGGGTAGGTGACCCCATTTTACATCCAATCAGACATTTGAACCCCGACCGTCTTGGTGAAAGGCGAATACGCTATTCAATGTACCACCCAAACAGGCCACCTATTAAATCTCTCCGAGGAATGTGACTCTTGTGAAAAAGAAAATATCAATACATTTATGTATTCCGTACATAAGCCTTGTTACAGTACACGGGAATGCAACTCGTACGAAACAACACAGTGGAAACTCTAGCGTTTAGCCTGCAGTGTGCCAGGTTTACTTAACTAAGATAGTCGATTTCGAAAACAATCAAAATTATCAATATTCAAAATGAAAACTGAAAGCATGTGCATGGATTATAAATAGTCGTGTTGCGACAAGTACATAAAAAACACACTTGTACAATTTTAAATGACTGAACAATTGGAAACTTTAATTGAAAACTTGAGTTGACTTTATGCAACATATACAGATTTACGAGTCGATGTTTTAAAACTAGGCTCCGTTTACCATGGTGCTTTAATCTGTAGGTTTGATCATTTCATTGTAACACATATCTAATACAGATTTATCAGTCTTTTAAATGTTGTTTTAATATTTACACGAGATGGTGTGATAACTGATATATCAAAGATAGATTTGCTGTGTCTATCAACCAAGGTTGACGTAGTAGACGGGGTGGGTATAAATAACCTTACCACGCGAACACAGGACTTATCGTATCCGTTCGGAATGTTCACGCCACGTTTAGCCCCTCACGTCTCGGCAAACTTCGTGAATTCGGGGCCAAAGTTTCATGATCTGGAAATAATTAATACGTCATTAATTAGCTAGATAACAGAGATCATTAGCCCGGCCAATCAAATAGGATCTGACAGATAAACAGACCAATCGAATTCGATCTTACAGATAAACAGACCAATCAAATAGGATCTGACAAAAAAACTCAAGACTGTGAATCCACAGAATGTTGTAACAACCGGATCAATTGACAACGCCCTTATTTATCTATGTATTTTATATTGAGAACAATTGAAAAACAAGAACCACCCATATAAACAAATGAATTCCCTCATTACTAGACGTGTTTATCACGTTTTGATCAATAAAAACGACGCTGCCCTATAGCTATTTGATAATGGAACCTATACACAGACAATTCTATGATCAAAAAGATTCGGAAGTGAGATTCAAAGTCTGCATACACAACTTATTTTCGGGTTGAGTTACTTTATTCACAGACATTTGAGTTAAGACAATTGAAAATAAATAAATGCATAAATAAACAAGTGCTCATTGTAATAGGGATAATTACAAAAGTCCACAAAGCTAACCCCACAGTCACAATTGATGCTAAGCTTTGGATGTTATGGCAGTACCATCATACAACCGCATACCAGGAGGCACGGTAGTCTAGTGGTAGGACGCCGGGCCCGTGACCGAAGGGTTGCGGGTTCGAGCCACGGTACGGCACTGTGTTGTATCGTTGAGCAAGATACTTTACTCCGCTTGTTCCAGTCTACTCAGCATGGGTACGTGGTTGGGTAGTGCTAGAATTGTTGAATGCTAGCTTCGAGCGCCGAAATGGCAGCACCGGCTGTATGCTCCCAAGGGAGTTGAGAAAGATGTTGGCTGGGTGCAAAGGCCCTATAACCACGGATAATAATTTGTGAACCGCTTTGAGACGACCTACGAACTAGGTTGTGATAAAGCGGTATATAAGAACCTCCCAATATTATTATTATACCAAATTTGAGCAAAACCAGTCATTATCTAAATAACGACCAATCAGAGACCGCGGCAGCCATGTTGGATAACCGATCGAAAAATAAAAAATAAATAAAAAAGGAACACAACCTTCCATTTACAAACACTGATGTAAAATGTCATTAAATTCATGTAGATAAATCTCTGGAAAAGTGATGGATGATAGTGGAAAAAAATAAGTACAATCTGTATTAAGAAAAAAGAAAAAGAAACTGGGCAAAAATTTAACAGAAGAGGGGAGGCGGGGATGAGGGTGGGGATGGTCGGCTTTTTAAAGTCTTTAACATTGTTGTGGACTTAACCCAGTTCCTGTTGGTGTCTTTTCTCATCGCTGTTGAATTCAGGCTTGTGTCAATGATGTGTTAATTGGTACATGGCAACACCCCCTACCCAGGTGAAAACATACTACTATGATGGGAGATCGAGTTGACTCCTCAGTGAGAGAGGACCGGACCTACCGACACACATCTCGAATATGTCTAGGCTGTGTCAAATGGCCGTTTACGGTGAACCCATCAACACCCAATGAGTGGGAGAAAAATAAAATAAATCTGGCTTAGTGAAGACTATGGTCACGATTGTATTGTCGCCACCTTGATCACCTTAGGGAATGTTTTATTTCTTTGATTACTGAAAAAATGTGCTTTGTGAATTGTTGTCGCTACCCGGGTTCTCACTTTGAAAGCTTGACATTACACGGAGTTGATACTATGATTGAATCTAGATTTAAAGGTCGATGCTGTCGATGAAGCTTTTTGAATGACTTACGTGAAATGATTTTTTTCCATACTCTATCGAATTTTTCATTGATATTGAGTTCGAATAGCATATTTGTTTACTCTTTGGCATTCTCTGGATTTTTATTTTATTTATAATTGTAAGGTATTGATTTCAGGAAACGTTACATGTTCCTCATATATTCCAACACCTGTGAAGAGTTGTGAATTCCTCTAACGAGAACACGTTTACTGAACAAGTTATGTCCGTTCTTGTTGAAGAACCAGTACTTTATAAAGAACGTAAGATCTAGTCTCGTTCAACCAGACTCTTGTTGTCTGCGCAACCTACGCCGAGTCTTTAATTACAAGTGATCAAGCGTCTTGTTGAACGAGACTACGTAAGCTCTATAACATAGTTGCACGTGACCTTTGACCTGACAAGAGATACGCCACCTACAGCCTCTTCACGGAAGTCAAATCCATGCTTCATTACTCCGCAGTCAAGCTGAAAATGTTGGCTTACATTGATCAAGTGGAAAGGATGCAAAGCCCCTGCCCCCTGCAAACCGTGCATCATATCTGGAAAAGAGATAGGGATCGTTTTATCAGGACTTACATCGTTATTTAGGGCTTTAGATTTCTTTGAAATTAATTCATTTGATAAATCCTGATAGCTTTTTGAATCATTAAATTCTTTGATTAATTTTGTACTACATTTTAGCCTGGAAAAGTTCAAACTCCTTTCTACAGGCATCTTTCATAGTTTATTTCTATTTTCTTACATCTTTACCTATAATGTCTTACATAAGTATCTATTATATACAAATGTATCAATGTTATGTGTTCCTGACAGTGTTTACATGTACCTATCACGCAAAAGGATCAAACTATACCTGCTGCACATATTGCAATATATGGTATCTTTGCATTTTTCTCTTCTAACTCCCGTTTCTTTACGTTTTCCG